CGGTGATCCCTATCGCTTGTACACTTTTTCTGACCACAGTTTTTCCTTCCCTTTGCCTCTCTATTAATGTGTTTGGACACAGAGCTCTGAGAACAGCCAGCCTCTTCAGCAATAACCTTTTGTGTCTTTCCCTCCTTGTGCAATGTGTCGATGGTTGCCTTTTGGACAGCTGTCAAATCTGAAGTCTTCCCCATGTTTGTGTAGGCTTCAGAACTGGACTGAGAGACCATTTAAAGCCCTTTGCAGGTATTTTGAGTTAATCAGCTGATTAGGTGTCTTCAAAATTTAACCCTTACACAATATTCTAATTTTGTGACACACGGAATTTAGGATTATCATTTGTTGCCACTTCAAATCATCAAAATTAAATGAAATAAACATTTGAATGCATCAGTCTGTGTGCAATGAATGAATATAATGTACAAGTTACACCTTTTGAATGCAATTACTGAAATAAATCAAGTTTTTCAAAATATTCTAATTTACTGGCTTTTACCTGTAGACCTAGAAGTTGCTAGTAAGAAATTGTTACTTAACAGCAACCTTCTGTGGCCTCTCTAGAGAAAGGCAAGGTAGGTAGTTTTGCTTCAGGCTAAAACATAAGTGGGCTGCAAGGCCCATGCTGACACACCAGGACAATAATGAATTATATAATTATGATGAATCTTAAAGAGAGTCAAGATTGCTGGTTCCATTTTGAAGACTAGTCTTTATGTTAATGTATTTGGCAGACACATTTATCCAAAGCAACTTACAGTGTGGGTGCAATATTACAGTTGGCAACAGCAGTTCACAACTACGTAGAGGGAAATCACTAGACAGACTGTTAAAGGGGACATTTGTGACAGCGTAGAGATAGGGGGAAGTACAAAAAGGAAAGTGCAAAAATTGATTAATAGTAACTAAAGCAGAGTTTCTTAGGCATGTAATTGCTCTGGTTATCTCAGAGATTTGACAGAATAGCAATTTTGCACACTCCGCCTTCTAACTCAACAGGCAGATTAACAGACCAGTTAGTGGGTAATGTGCATGGACCTATGGTAACTGTACACCTGGATGTCAAATACTCAGCACCACCTGCTACATTAACATACAAACATGTCAATAGTAACTGTTTACACATCATGTAGTGACTGGTATTAATCTAACTTCCCTATACTCACCTGTACCCCCTCAAGTGTCACTTTGAATAGTTTATCAGTTCATTGTAAAAGAAAAACACTCTTGGTCTCTTTGCAGCATTACAAATGGCACAAGGGAAAACCAGAAGGATATCATTAACAAGATCAGGTCTACTTAACATAACGAATTCTAACATTCAACTTCCTAGAATAACAGCAAAATAGACTAGGACAGTGGTTTTCAATAGGTGAGGGGCACCTTCCCAGGGGGACACCAAAGAGTTGCGAAGAAATATAACGGTTTCATGTAAATATCTGCCGTAAGCTACTTGTTCATGCTTGCGTGTGTGAAATAGTAGGGCTAATGAAATGTATTGTTTTCTGATACCACAACAGAAGTCAGCAGAAAGGGAGGAGTCTGCTAAACAAATGTAGGAAATATGATCCTGATTATAAAATGAGATTGTACATGGTCCGGTTCTTAGACTGCTTGGTTATATTTACCTATTCCAAGGGGAGGCTCACATTCAATGAATATTAAAATCCCTGGGCTATGACAAAATCTACCTTTGCACATCACATCTGTCAGGCTCGAGGACTCAACGAGGACTCAGATGCAGAGCGTAATTCAAAAATCCAAAGTTTATTAACAAAAGGCGCACTCAAAAGGAGTGGACAAAAAGACAAAACACAAAACGCTCCAATAAACGGAGGGCAAAGTACAAACTGAAAGAGGCTCTCAAAACGAGGCTAAAGGGAAAAGTTACAAAACAATACTGATGAAAGTAACAACGTAAATTCTCTCACGAGGAGGCAAACGTCTAGGAGACGAGCGTCTAGGAGACAAACTGAAAAGGCACTCTTAAAGAGGCAAAAACGCAGGAGGCTCAAAGGCAAGGAACGGGATCAAGGCAAGGTAACTATGACGAGGGAACTGTGGACAAGACAGGCACTGTGGTTGGGAACGAAACACACTGGCACGGTACAAGGGGAGGCGAGGACTATTTAACCACATGAGGGAAGGGATCCCCAGGTGCACACAATAGGTAATCAGGGAGACGCTCAGACTGGTGACACAACAGGAAGTGCAAGTGACCTGAAACGAGATGAGGGTTATTCTTCAAAATAAAACAGGAAATGACGAGACTAGAAAAAGACGAGACAAAAACCCCTCAACCAGGACACCTTCGTGACAACATCAAAGATCCATAATGTTGGTTAACCCTCAGTACTCAGACTATTTTTAAGTATTTTTAAACCCATCCCAGTCCAAATTAATTACTTTGTTGCCAGAGACTTACACAGCATCAATTGAAAATTGTATGGAACAGAAGTATGAAAAATCTTAAACAGATTTTAGGTGTTTTCGCTCACTTAATTCAAATCATTGTACCCTTGGTAGACTTGTGAATTGATATATTTCGAAGGGATCTATTTGATCTAAATCTGATGTGTTAGAACAGGAAACATTTAAATCTGCAGAACAGCTTCCCTTGATTTTGGGATCCCTATTCAAACCCTAACATATTCAACAGTAGTGAACAGTTCACATTCAGTTTAAACAATTCATGTGCAACTGGGTTTTGGTTTTGAACTAACAGGCCACAGAAATGTATATTGTTAAACTGTGCCTTCTACTCCATCATTCTCAGAACTAGTTACAATGAAGGCTGTAATCCCATAATGCTGTTTTCCACAAAGATAATACATCACTGCAGTCTTCCAAGTGAAAGTAACCATCCATCCATTGGAGTTCTATACCGCTTATTTGAAGTCGAAACGCAGGTAGGCTGGAATCCATCCAGATATTATAGGATGAGTGACAGGGTACACCCTGGACAGTTTGCTAGTTGTTAACAGGGCAAAACGGAAACTGACTAGACAGACAAACATGCACACTAAGAATCATGTCTATAGACAATTTAGAGCTGCCAATGAACCTAACGTAGATGTTTTGGGCTGTGAAAGGTAGCTGGAACTGCAGCCCTCAGCCAAGTCACAGTAATGTCACATTGAAATTTGTGGAAGACGTTGCAGTGGGGAAAGTTGTTATCCCCCCTACGGAACTGGTGCCCTCTTTGCTGGCACTCCCGCTGAGGCCAAACATCACCAATAAATTGCCCTCATCGCCAGGGGTTAGCCAAAGCACGCTTTTGGCTTTTGGTTTTCGTGTTAAATATTCCGCCATTTTGGGCCCCTCCACACGCCTCACTTCTCCGATGCCAGATGGCTCTCAACTTTTTTATTTACCATTTCCATTGCCTGTGTATGGTCCATCCACCCTAAATTCCATAGTTCTGCTGGTGGATGCCCAGAAGTATGTGGCACGCGCAAAGCGGATGCCCTCTCCCAAACCATCTCTCGCCCCCATCGCTACTGTGACCCTTTCACCCCTGTAGACATTCTCCAAAGTTTGGGACACTTGGGATTGAAAAAGCGCAAAACTTGCTCCAATTGACTCTCCAAGGCTTTTTGTTACATGCAGGCCCAGTGGATGTTCACCCTTCGTGACAGCAGGGTTCAACTCGTCAAAGTTTGGGACCAGTTGGGACCAGTTGGATAATCGACTCTGGGACACCCATTATACGTGCGCACTCGGCAACGTTCGCCATTGAGGACAGCAGGATCTTCACAGTTGGAAAAACTTGATTTTGGGGCTTCAAGGCTGTCTGGGCTCTTTGAGGCTGAAATCAAGATTTTCCAATTTTAGGACTCTAGTCAAAATTGTCAGTGTCACTGGCAAGTTTCCCTTGGCACTACATTTGAATTAGGCCGACTTTGCTAACATGAGTGTAAAAATATGTCAAGTTGATCGTCTTTGTCCGCTTAACATACATTAATATTGGCCACTGTGTATTTGAATTGGACTCAATGCAATTGTATTGGCAGTGGGCTTGTCCACTTAACACACATTGCTTCCCATGTAAATGTATATTAAGTGTACAAAAGTTGTCCACTTCACATACCTTAACATTATCCCCTGTGTATTTGAAGTGGACCCTATAACAAGTGCTAATGGCCAACCTCCGGAGAAAAAAGTTTTAAAGGCCAGGGAAGCAGGGGAGCCTCTGGATTTGCCATTCGAATAGGAACACATAGAGGCATGCAGGAGTCAAACAACCTTTGCTGAGTCAATCAAGACTCAGCAGAGTGAACAGTAAAGGCCCGATAGGAGGATTTAATTTTCAGAGTGCGACACAAAAAGGCGTCCATTGGCAGACTGATGGTGCCACAACTGCATCTACTGGTAATTTTGCAGTATCACAGGCCCCGTCCACTTATTAGACAAAAACATTTCGCCAAGTGTTATTAGAACGCACTATGTCCACCGCCACTAAACAGGTGACATTGGCAATACTTAACCAGCAACGTTTTGTCCACGGTCAATACAATTTTCGGGACTTCCCCTAAATGCACTAATTAGTCAGCAAATAGGTAGCATATATTGAAATAGATTAAATAGAAATGTATATATATGAATATATGTGTATATATACTGTATAGATGTATCTGTGGCAGAGGGATATGTGATACTTTCCATTACTGTGTGATATTACAACCTTTCCACCTTTAGTATTTCTATGGCAAGAACAATCTAGGTGACTTTAGAAAAGGCTTCATATATCAAGCAGAAAAAGAGATTCTTCCTGGATGTTGTATGGCTGATAAACTACTCTCACATCCACAGGCTTTGGCTGTTGTGTTACCCTGGATTTCTAATTTACTCCAGCTTTAGCTAATCTAGATTTATGTGAAACCAACCCAGTAAATCAAATAAAGTTACAGATTGTGTATAATCAAGTTTCAATCAATCAGGTTAATCAAGTGTCTTACCGCCATACACAATACCAAACTGTCCTGATCCAAGAACCTCATCAGGGAATATCTGATACACAGAGTTGATATCCTGTAAAACATACAAACCCAGTTAGAATACAGTGTCATAAATCAATCTAAGACATGGTGTCATTTAAAATTCTGACAAGCTAAATCCATAACAATATAATAAGATGAATGTATTTTTTATTTCCAAATATTTATTATTTAATTATTTTTTCATCAAACATCACACTGAATAGAATTTTGCTAAACTTTTATTTAAAAAGAAAAAATCCTTGTTTTGTCCGACATGTTTGAACTAAAAATATCATCAATCAATCAAACTAAATTCATAGAGAACTTTTTTATCAGAGAAAAGCTACACAAAGTGTTATACATAATGAAAAGAAAAAGAGTAATCAGCCAGAATAAAGTAAATGCCAGTTCGCACATCCACTTTGCCCAAACTATCGGCACATGAGTCACACATTCATACAGACAGAATGATGATCTTTAAAAGTGCTGTCTTAACCCTCAACAGTAGTGGGAATATTAAAACACTGGAGAGAAGTAATGCTAAAAATAATATCCAAGATAATATGAAAATAACTCATACAAGGTTTACTGATACTTTTCACGCATAAGCATACACAAAATCTACATTTTTTATTTAATTTCCATCAGGTCTAGTATCTCTGGTTCAAACTCTCAACATTATAAAACCTAGCTCCCTCTGATACCTGGTCCTAATTATTAATTTTACTAGAATGCAAGTGCTCTGCTTGGTTGTTTAAAACTGACTTCAAATTCCCAAGATATCCTTCTTAATTCTTTTTTATTGTTTATTTGTTTTAGTTTTTTCCTTTCTTATCTGTGAGAGGACATAGGCGGTAGCATTCTGAACTGACTCAAGTCAGTACTGTCCTTAATGAGGTTGGAGCTGAATGCCTAATTGCGGTGGGTGCATCCTCCAGTGTGATGTAGACTGGAGTGGGTGTTCATTGCTGCTCTCTTTTTTATCATTCTTTGATATGTAAAATCTTATTTTCCCTTATCACTGTGACAATACCTGTTGTGATAGAAACTGTGTGTGTGTGTTTGATTTCTCACCACGTTCTCCTGGATCTGGCAGTTGGAGACAGAAATACTAACTGAAACTTCCTCTGTAGGTGAAACAAACATAATCAAACAGATTACTTGATGCACACAGTTGAAGTAATCTAACCCTAAATCAGTGATTTAACATACTCCAAATATTCCTATTTGATCAATTAGAACAGATCTGACCAAGCTGAGGAGCTTGCTAGTATAACTTTGACTACATAAGGAATTGAAAAATCACTGAAGGGTTTTGGGTTTTGAACAGAAATATCAATCTAAGAGGATCTGAAGTGACAGAGAAGAATACAAGCAGTAACCCAAATAAGCATATAAACTATTTTATTTTTTTAAACATTTTTTTAGCTTTGTCCAGCTTCCTTGTAATTTTAAGTTTAGCTCAAGGGAACACTGGACAGAACAAGCAAAAGATGTTCTCTCTTCTGTAAGGTAGAAGGCAGGGTGCGGGATCAATTAACCTTTTCAAATCCATTATCAATGTATGCATTTAATCTGAATGTTCCAGGTATTTTGTTTGCATCTCCATACACATTTCCATTCAGAACCAGTTCAGATTGGCATATATATTGTAAATGTTGTCAGTGAAGTTTTCTGTCAAAAGTTTGAGGTCTTGATGAAAACTTTTTTTTTACAACAATAGTAGTGTAGATTTTTCAAAGCCACGTTATATCTAACAAGCATGTATTTTTTATACTGTGAATCTAATAAAAATGAAAATTCAATGAAAAAGTGGATGTAAAGAAATAAAATATTGCATTGTCGAAAAAGACTTATTACTGTTCTATTAACAGACTGAAAAATGATGTATTAAGGAGAAATATACATTAAGATACAATAAAGATAAATGAAATTGTATAATTTTAATCACACCATAAAATAATTGAAGTTTCGTTTAATTGTTAGTGTTATAATCTCAATGTTTATAATAAAGGTAAGTGGTACAGGGACTGATTGAGACTGGATCAAATCTTCATCAAGCAAAGGTTAACTTGTGTGTGGGAAGGTAAATTAGACATTTGTCTCAACGTTATGTGGTTCAGTTTCGTACTGTGTCCACTCCTATGCGAGCTGCAGCAAACTCCTGAAGAGACAGCTGGCATCAGAGCGTGCTGGATGGCCATTTCCCACATTCGAGCTACATCATGCCCCGCACCACTGACCTGGAATAAATTAAAAATGAATAAATAATAACAATCATAATCTAAATATCAGCCAAGCAGAACTGTGAGGTCACTGTTAAAAGGGCTTATGGCTGTTTGAAGAAAAAATCTATTGAACCTGAAAGCCCTGCAGCACAGTGAGATTAGGCTTTTCATTAAAACCGCTGCTCTGTCCTGCTAAGATATTGTGAAGGGGGTGTTTATAATTCTAAAATACAGAATATGACTTCCTCCTCACCCACAATACAGTAATGAGACGGTCCAGGACACAATGCCGGCATTTATGTGATACACACAAGTCTCTCCAATGTCTTCATTATATGTGGTGTGCTGTCCATGTTATAATAGACGAATGGCTTCAGGTGTGACATTGGTATCAATCATAGAGATGGAGGTGGGGGTGAAACTGGGATTAGGAGAGCTACAGGTGCGAACTGCTTTAGAAGTTCAAGTTAAATTGGATTTAGGATGCCTTGTCGTCAAAGTGGCCACAAAGGTGGAGGTGCAGCCTGGCTCTGGAGCTCTAGCATATGATATAGCTAAAGAGGTTGAGGTGCAATGGTGCAGACAAACCCTAGCAGCTGACACAGAGGTGGAGGTACAGCTAGGAAAGGGAAGCAGCTGGGTGGGAAATGAGCAGGAGCGGAGGTGGAAAAAGCCACACCGTCCAACCTGTTGTAATACTCTGGAGCACTTTCCACAGACTGGAACTTCTACAGTCTGTAACTGGATCTGAATAAGGACCATCACTGAATATAAAGTGATGATAGTTATTCCCCTACATATCTCTTTGTGTTTTCCAGCAGTCTCCAAGTTTTTCTTGTACTCCGCCTTCATTTGGCATAATAACTTTATTTGCTCCTGTTTCACATTTCCCCATTCCCATCCCGTAGCACTCTCTTTTTTTGGTTCAGGAGACCTGTGGTAGACCTGGTAGTTTCAGGAAGCCTTTGTACAGAGGACCGGATGTAGATGTGACGTTGTTATCAGACCTACACGGTGGGGAAAGAGACACTGCCCTGTAAACATCTTTCACTTTGGCATGAAACAAATCTAATGTTGGAAAGTTTTACATACTGTGAAAAAAACATAGAGAGATAGTTGAAAACCCCTTCGATTTTAACAGTTGCTTCAGGGGGATGGGTCTTTATCCTAGCAATGGTGTCATCGCACACAGTTTTAGGGTCCACCTTTGATGAAATTTAAATAATGATGACATTGTATGGGAACTCTTTGGGAACACATAATACATGGAAATCAATTCAAAACATTCCCTCTCCTGAATGGTTACATTTCAAGGGTGCCCTATCTCTGATTAATAAACAGAATAATACCCCTGTCTTTCCACCTATCACTTGTACTTTGGTCTCAATCATGTCCTACAGCTGTGAAGCTAGGTGCTTCTACAAAGGTCCAGTGCGTTGTTGTTCAGCTAGGACTAAGATGCTTAAGGACAGTGATGGAGTAGATCATCATGGGTGCTATTTCTCTAGAAAGTTCAGTTCCCCTCGTTTTATCACAGATTTTCATAAAGTTAACTTGGTAACAATTAATTCCAAGAGTGGATGATTGCGTGGATACTATTGGCGCTGCCAAATTTGTGGGCAAATTTGTACTGAACTTTCATGGGAAATATCAGCATTTGTGACTGACTGTTTTATCCAGTATACAGTCATGGCTTTTGGAATGTGCAATGCCCCTGCTACGTTTCAGAGGCTGGTAAACACAGTTCTTTCTAGATAACCTAATTGTAGTGCTTATTTAGATGACCAAATTGTGTACACCATGACATGGGAGGAGCATCTGCTCATCCTTGAACAGGTGTTGACTCATTTAGCCCTTGCTTCTCTGACACAAAATCTCGGCAAGTTTGATTTTGGTAAAAACCACTGTCACCTATTTGGGGATACAGGTGGGCCAAGGCCAAGTTCAACCTATCTCTGCTAAAATGTCGGCTATAGTTGACTTCCCAATTCCTTAAACCCGTAAAGCTTTACGCCGCTTTCTGGGAATGGCCAGCTACTGCAAGGGTTTTTGTCACAATTTATGTTCAGTAGTTCAGCCTTTTGACCTCCCTAATTAGTCCAAAAGTTTAATTTGTCTGGTCTCCTACTTGTAAACATGCTTTTGACAGCACTAAAGCACTGTTAAGTAACACCCCCATCCTCGCCCTCCTGATTTAACTTGTCCATTTAAGCTAGATGTGGATGTTGTGGGAGCCTGTTGTAGGAGCTGTGCTGATGCAGGAGGATAGTGATGGAGTAGATCATCATGTGAAAGTTCAGTAAACATCAGGTTAGGTGTTCCCCATGCTTTGTTGATGTCACTCCAGCATTTTGAAGTGTATGTGGGTTCCAGTCCTCTGCCAGTAGTGGTCTACATTAACCGCAATCCCCTGGTATTCCCCAATCACATTTATAATGGGCATTGATCTTGCAGGACTACACCCTTGAAATTAAACACAAAAAGGATCTCTTGACTGGATGGGAGCAGCAGCTAGGGATGCCATGAGGGAAGACAATGTGCTCCGACCCCGGGTGGCTGGCTGGCTCTGGCGTCCTTTCTCTCACCTCTGGGTCTTAATCCAGCGGTCAATGCAGGCTGTGAGGGCAATGGCTTCATCGAGGGTGCTGGGCAGATCATAAGAGACAAGCTCCTCCTTGATGTAATCCGCCAAGCTGTGATAGAAGGCGTCCACCACGGCGTCCATGTTCCAGGAGCTGCAGCTTGCCCAGTTTCGGGAATCAATTGAGTAGTCTTGCACTGTCCATTTGCCTTGATGGAGATGCTAGGGATGCTTCAGAGGTGGAAGAGCCCAGGTCGAACAACTTGATCATCTCCTTTGCAAACGCATTGAAGGCGGCACAGGCTAGAGTTTGCCTGTCAAACTCAGCTGTTCCCCAGAACCGAGCTCAGCCGGTCAGGTGGGTGATGAAATATCAGACTCTGGCCCCCTATGTGGTGAAGGTTCGGGTTTGAAGTGAGAAATTGACTCTGCAACTTATCAGGAATGCTTGCACCTGTTCTGCGTCAACGTCAAACCGTTCGGGGATTCTGATCTTGGGTTCCGGGGCATCGCCAGAGCTTCGGGGGCCTGATTGTTGGGTCTTGGCAAGAGCGCTGCGGACGGGATGGGAGCAGACGGAGTTGCAAGGTGGTGAGCGCTTGGATCACCTGGGCCAGCTGCTGTTGTTGTTGCTGGAATTGTTGGTGGAGCTGATTGGTGACATTTCATCTTTGATCAGCAGACATCTGGGTGACTTCCCTTTCAGCTTGTTCAAGATGGTCCAGGGCAGTGGGTTTGTGTGCTGGTTCCATGATGGTCAGTTCGTACTGACCATCATGGTGAGTGAGAGTTTGAGTGGACGCAGAGAATCCAGTGGCGGGAGTGAGGTCTGTTAGGGGCTGAGTGGAGCGAGCAGCAACAGATATCGGCACAGGCTGGGGCTGGAGTTGGCAGGCACACACCGAGTGTTCCGCGGCAGGAAAGTTGCTGTTATCGGGTCGAACAGGTCAGGTAAAACAAGTAAGAAATTAATTTGAGGAAGGCCAACGAACAGGAACACACTGAATCACAGACAAACTGACACTGAATGTCTGGAGACCTGTGCCTTAAATACACACACACTCAGCAGCTGCTAACAAAATGCAGGTGGCATTGATTAGGAGTAATGAACAGGTGAGCTTGCTGATAAAGTAGAGTGCGAGTGTGAAGGGGGTGTGGCACCAAGCAGAGTGAGGTGGAATAATACCCAGTTGGTGGAGCAGGGAGCAGATTCATGACAGAAGGAACCCTTTCAATTGCACTCGGATTTAAATGGAATTATCCATGTTGTTGGCCAAGTCTACTGTACTGCCATGTAGTTTCCTTGTTGCTCTCTCTTTTTTTATGTCTTGTTCTCTCTCTCCATCATTGAACCAGGATTTGTAAGGGTTATTCCATCAACCTGCTAGAAAGGACGTGCCTTTCAACAACATGAAAGGTCTTTTCAGGAGCCATATTTGATAAGATGAGTAGGCACATGGTTCAATACATAAACCATGGGCTGATTATCAGCTTCAAATTAATAAAACAATAACTTCGAACTATTTAATCAGTCAAATGAAATGTTACTCCACCCAGACTGACTACTAAAAAAAACAGGATTCATTGCCAGACAATAAACAACTACTCCCTTCCAGTCATCTGAGGACTTTCTGTCACTATTAAATGGCCAAAGGAAGAGACGCAAGTCACAGTACTAGTACAAGGCACACATTACAATGTATGTGTTTCACTCCAAGTCCATCAATATGACATACTGAGTGGAAGGAAAGAGTGAACAAGAGCCACTACCCTGCATGAAACAACAATAATCTAGGTATACAGTACATTTGAACGATGGAATGGGAGGAAGAACTTAGAACTTGGGATGGCCCTGTCTTAAGTATGGCCCCTGTAGCACTAACTGGACATTGTGGTGGCCAACAAACTACACAAGCATTAATAATAGATTGTAACAGTTACATGTGACTAAAATATTAAGACAAAGGAATTAAAAAATTTTGAAAAAGCTGTGAAGTCAAAAAGATTTAAAAAAAAAAAAAAAGCTTTTTTTTTATTTCAATAACCATTGTGTTAAAAGTGTCCCTGTCTAGAACAAGTGTGGATTTGTCCAGTGCTGAATTTAACACGGCAATATAGCAGAGAATCACTGTAATTTGGTTTTGTCAATGGTTTTTCTACAATGTAACAGAATCAACAATGCTGATTTAAAATATCTATTCTACTATAAAAATCCAATTTTTGGCTGCTAAGTGAGAGTGACCTCACTAGAATATGATAATGAAAGGAATGTGAAAATCTATAAATTGATGGTAAAAATGTCTCACCATGATGTTACTGTCCTTTATGGAAGATTCAGCTCTACACACATTCTCTCCAACATAGTAAATCAGTGAAGCCGTAGCAATCTCAAAACAGTGAGGATTGGGTCCATCAGGAAGAAGAGAGAAGTCATGAGCTGGCTCAAGAGATAAGATTTCTGACAGAGGGATCTCCTGTAGACAGAGAATGATGTGCAGAAACAAAATTAAGTTTAGTTTAAAATATTTGGTTTAGTTTAAAACACAAAAATGTACTTGAGTTGAATACACAAATGAGAACTCACATTTTTTCTACATTTGATGCTGCATACAGCGGTCGTATTGGTTGGCTTTAACATCCATGCAGTTGTAGAACACAACAGCATATTTTCAATTGTATATTAGACTAAATCAGCTTTTCTAAAAATGCACACAGGCTATGTCAAACTCCAGTCTTCATGGATTGCTGTTGAGCGGGAATTCGATGTCCCCCTTCTTCATCACACCTGATTCCTATCAAGCCAATCACCTATGTACAGCCACATAATGTTTTTGAATAGATCCATATAATTAAAACCAGGTAAGTGGAAGCCAGGAGACAACATAAACCTGCAGGACAGCATCCTTCAAGGCTTCAAAACCATGATTTACAGCTTCATGGAGTACAACATTAGGTAATGCTGAACCTTCAAAAAAGAAGATAAATCGAAGGAGACAGACTTTCTGTTTCAGTTCCCAGCTGGATTTTTTAATGTACATTTCGTAACCTCCTGTTAAAGAGAAAATGGTATACAATTGGTTGACAAGAATTTCACTCGATCTGAAAAGTTTTTTTAGGTTTCATTGCATTCCAATGAATTTCCTAGTTTGAACTTCACATTGGCTCACCAATTTTTGGAAGTCTTTTCAAGTCTTAGTTTCTTAGTTGGAATGGAATTTTCCCTTATGAGCCAGAGTCACCTTGCAGACGTTGCAAGCTAGAGGATGAACTGTGGTTTGTGCACATGTGCCAAAAGGTCTTCATGGAATCTTGTGATCAAGATAATACAAGCCAGTAATATGATGACTTTTCATCCTTCTGCCCCTCAAATACAAAGACTCAAACAACAAAGAAAACTGCTTAAGGAACATGTCTTACCCTATAAAATTTATTTCCTGTTTCGCTTTGAAACAATGTGATGCATTTACTGTCCAACCGCCAGTAATGTCTTTTTCTCTGAAACATACAGATACACAGGAGGAAGAAACAGGTTAGCTGATAAAACATAGTACAAATTTGAAGAAAGTGTACAGGCAAGAAAATGGGTATGGGACAAGCATAACCTTATAACAACACAAAAATGTGTATTTAACAAGGTTAAAAAAAAGTCACTATGTCACTGGTATGGGATGGACAGGGGTGCGCAAGGAAAGTGTGGCCTTCTCACATTACACAGGTGTGGGTTCAATTTCCAAACCATTAAGGACTTTAAGGACTATTTCTTGTAATGTTTCATTGTGTGTCAATCTTATTTATTACTTTACTTCACATGAGGTACTCAATCTTTTATTGTCTTCTGTGTCATAATTACATATGAAATCTTAAGAACTCCATGAAGGTATCTTCAGACCAATAGAAACAATATATAATGCATAACAAGATGTAGAGCCTTTTTTCAACCTCCGTTCCTGATGTTCTTTTTAATCGAGTATCTGCCATGATAGGTTGCTGCCCCAAATACTCCCAAATCCTGTATGATCATGTTAGTCTGTTTTCTGATCTTAGTCCAGTTGTTAATCTTTATACACTGCCCTGTGAGTAACTAATTAAGAAACATGGCATAAACTTCCACAGTAGTGCTGATGATTCGTTGCTCTGTATCCTGACGACATTCACCTGACAGAGCACCTCTTTATCGTAATTTAGATATCAAGACATGGATGGTAAAAAACCTTTTAAAACTCAACCAGAACAAAACAATTCTCATCCATGCTCTTGAAGTGCACAGAGAGGAAAGACAGGGTGATTTCATGTAAGTTTTATCCCTCAGGCCGATGCAAGCATTATCACTTGTAGAATAGATTATTGCAATGCTTCTCTTCTCCTTTTTAGTATTTTTAACTGACTGTATCCATTGCAGCATCAGCAAAACGCAGAAGTTTGTCTACTGATGAGGACCAGAAAGATATATCATGTTGCTTCAGTTTTAAAGTCTCTGCATTTGATACCTGAGTGTTTGCACTTTTTTTTATTTTTCTAAATAAAGGTAAAGTATCCATCTGATTAGATTTTGGTTTATTAGCCTCCCAAAGTTCTTAGGTAACTGGGGGCTGGTCTTCTGTTTATTGCGATCTTTTGTCTTCTGGGAACAAGAACAAATGGGGAAGCATAGCTTTTATGGTCCTAGTTTATTGAAACTGCCTTCGTTAAGATCTGAGGGCAGCTTGGAGTTTTGATATTTTTAAAAGAAAACTTTAAACTTATCTTTTTGGTAAAGCACTTAATTTAATCTGTTATTTGTATTAATTATCAATATCTCATTTCAAATTTGTGTCATTCTTAATCTCTTTCGCTAAATTGAGTTAAATATCTTTTTATTTAGTTTTACCTTTTTTGTTATTACTTGCTTACTTAATACGTTTATAGTTTGAACTATTTATTAAATTATTAATACTGACTACATAGCATTTTTTGTTTCATTCTATTGTACTGGATTAATGTTCTATCCATCTTTACTCTTTTTATTCAATCTTCCAGTATTTTAGCTTCCACAATGCCGTCAGCAAGGGTTAACTGTTGTTGTATGCTTTTACCTTCATTCTTAACTTTATCTTTGCTTGTTATTTCTTCTATGTTGTGTTAATGACGTTAAATTCTTCATGTTTGAAGAACTTAACTCACCATTGGTATTTACGACCACAGAGCAGCTGAGATTGATAGATGATGTGATGTCACAGCAATAAATGGAAACCACATGGGGAATCATGTAAAGACTGAAAGGTACCAGGGTGTCCTTGCTAGTGTAGTGAACCATCCAGCCTTCTTTCATCACATTGCTGCTCTTCCTCTTTGTATGTTTAACAGACTGAACAACTCGCATCAGTGGAATGTTGTTACTTGTGGACGGGCTGTAAGAGGCAGAGTGTAGCACAGCCTTAAATGTTTGTTTATAATTGGAACTTTTGTGACTGTATTTGTTTTTTGGGTACCTGATGTCACGACTAGAGTCATCCAGGTCATTGTCACACAGATCACCGAAGTCACTGGGTCCTGTTTCTTGCAACAAGCTTCCACCTGAAGTTCGTACTTCATCCATGTCTTCATGTTGGCTGCCACCACTGTCCAGATTATGGTCATCAAGGCAGCTCTCCACCATCACAACATCTGACTCTGTTCCTGGACTAAGGAGCTCTACATGGTGATCACAGAAGAAAGCCTTCTTAAAATAAGGACCACGACTGCTTTTATGGCAGGACATCATGAAAGTATTATCAAGTTTTTTCTTGGCTGATTTGCGGCAAAAAAAAAACTTTTCAATAGCTGTTGCAGTTTTAATGCACACAGAAACTGCTTTAATGCATTTAATGCTCACTTTTATTTATGAGTTATACCAAAAGTGGTTGAAAAAATAGCCAACAATGTTGCAGGATTGTTTATTTTGAAACTTGCCTTCATTTTTGCAAACCTCTCCCAGGCAGTTGTTTGGGACCTTCAGAGCGCATCTTTTATGGCAATTAAATTTACAATCTGAAAGACACAATGATAATTTGACCATTGACCAATGTGAGGTTCATTTTAACTGCTCATGTGCTGATGATGTAATAATGTGATATTCTCAAATTGACTTTGTGTTGCTATAGATTTGTTCCTTTTTGTCCCCCCCTTAAGAGAGTATGTTTTGGTCATTTTTAATTGAAAATAAATTACTCTGTTGTGGTTTATTTTACCAACCAAAAGTAATTTGAGAAGTAATCAATTTACTTTAATGAAAAAGTTAAATGTTAATTGACATAAATGTATCAGATTCTCTAAGAATAAGTAATTATTTGAAAAAGAAAAAAGAATTCTAGTTGTCCTTGCACACTATTCAAAATTCAAGTTTTCAGAAATGTAATGGCAGAAGCTGTATTTGGGTTGTTTTGGTCTTTACAATTCTATGACTTTAACAATTCTATTCTATTCTAAGTGTATGACTATTAAATTAACTTTCTTCCTAAAATGTTTACAATTATACAGTATATTAACAACCTCTCTGTTGGTGTTAACCAATAGAGTAACTCTAAAAGTGTTGAAAGACAAAAAAGGAGCATACCTTTGCACTGCAGCCCTTGCCTGAAGAGACCTTTCAGCAACTTTTTGCAGTGTTGGCAGATAGTAGGTCGGGTGTACGAGTGGATCAGAAATGTGTGGGGGACTTTAACCTTTGACAGCAGAATCTTGTCCAGCTCAATGGGACGACCAATATATGACTGGGAGCTGGATCGTCTTTCTCTGCCAGGGAAATAATCTAACTGGTTCTTTTGCTGTAAGGAGAAATAAACAAAAGACTAGTTGCTGGCTGACAGAAACATCCACTGTTACACTTCAAATAGTAAAACATTTTGGCATTGCAGACCAGTGCTTCCAATCTCAACTAAGTTATTCAAAAGTAAAATATTACACCTTCTAAAACTGGTTAAAAAAACAACAAAAAACAACAATTCCAGACTTTGTGCCTCACATTTTCTTCAAATAAAAATGGAATGTTCTGTTATTAAGAAATTACTATGAGGACACTAAGAAATAAGATGATAAGATGGTGATAATAAGAAAACCAAGGCTTTAGCAATGATGAAGGTGAATTCAAACAGATTTGAAATCAACTTGGTTTATCAAAGACTCTAGAACTTACCTCTATACCAGGACTAACTGGGGACTAGATAGCAATAAGGGTGAGAGAATAAAATAATATAAGATTATTAAGTTTCCAAAAAAGATGTTTAAAATCTCCGCCATGTCCTAATATTCAACTGGACTGACCAGTAAAGCATCATCTGTGTAGTGTGGTGGTGAGGGCTCAGCAGAGAGGGGGCGGCCCATATTAATCAGTCCTCCAGTCAGGGATACATTCGATAGACGACGCCTTCTCATCCCACTGCAGTTGTTGGGAATCTTAAAGGCACAGCGTTTATGATAATTCAGACCACAACCTGAAAAGAAAAACAACATATACTTTAATCCGTTGTCGCTCTTAAGCACGTGTGCGGCATTTAAACTTCTTGTGGAGAGTACAAAGCTGTCATACCTTCACATTTGAGCCCCTGTCGTACAAGTCCCCACAGCATTTCCCCACAGTGATCACAGAAAGTTGGAGCCCTATATGAGTGAACAAAAAGGCTATGTGGACGAATCTGGAAATCCTCTACTGTGGCCGATGCTGCGGAAGATCGGAGAATATCATATTACCTTACAGTAATTTATCTACCAGGATAAATATGAACAGAAACTTTAATACAAATGTTAAAATGCATCTCTCCTAAACAGGGTTAAAGGCACATTTAATGTGATATTCAATCCTATTTGAAACTCCAATTAGATAACTGGAACCACAAAGATCATTTTAAAAGAAATGAAAAATGTAGACATTACATACATTGATTGGTAATTTCGTAAGAGGCCCATGTCTCATATGCTAATCATTTATATATTTTATTTAGAATGCCACCCAGTTTGTTGTCTGGGTTTTTTGTCTATGGATAGGCTTTTAATATACTGGCCTGTCACGTATGGATAAGATCATGTGTTTCTTGGAAACTCATGCCACATATGAACAAATATATCTGGTTTTCTCATCGCCTGGGACAGTTTTGTTAATCCAGATTTTTGAGTTTATTGAAAAAAGGACTAGTTGTAATATTGACAGGTTTACAGAGCTCTCTCTAAGTGTTCACTTTGTTTTCCCTGAGCCTTAGTTAGTATACTCTCAATCTGATTATGTAGTGTTCAGATGAAAATAAGCAATAGTCCCTCATCTCCGTTTCCTGTACACATAGTAAATAAAGGCAACTTGTCGTCCTTTGCATTGTTCCATGTGAACTTTGTGTTGCTGTCTACCGAGTTTATGTGCGTTGTGAAGGCCTCCAATTCTTGAATTTAGATGTTGACACAGGTGTTGTACTTGAATCAGTGGCTAGGTACAGTTTCTTTGTTTAAGCTCAACGAGATTCCTTCCACTCCCGACCTACAAATATTACTAACAAATGATGTTACTAATTGCTAATGACCTAATTTGTTACTAATTTGTTACATTACAGACAACAGAAATGCTTTTTTCTATACAAACAATCATCACGTTTGAATTATGAAGGTAGGCAGACGTTCAAAAGTAAACAGAGCTGGTCAGGACTTCAGTTGCTTCCTTAAGTTAACGAGTTACTTTTCTGAAGCCATCAGTCATTAACAGGCTGTGTGGCTAATTGGGAAGTTTCAACTCACCATGTCAGTTCTTTGTGACACACAGTTACAATGTAAAGCTAACTGCATTTTCACACCCTTTGCATGATAGGTTCCAGCTCCTTCGCACTAGCCATTCTTTTGTGGTCCCTAAGGATAGCACAAAACAGTAGAGAAAGAGCTTTGTACCACCAGCAATTGCCAGTAAAAGCTTAACAGTAAGCCCGAGAGGTGAACAGTTTTGTTCATATGGATGTATTGATGCTGAAGGACTATTTTATGAGTGAATGTTAATAAAAGTCAGGTAAACAGTGAGCTAAACAGTGAGCTAATACGTCTTTACTTTTCTGAGGAGTTGCGTATACAAAGTTACTTTGCTTTTGACCACTGGTGAGCAAGTATGCCCACTCTCAGTCTCTAATGATCTGTGCAGATCTGAGTCAGATAAATGACTAATGATCTGTGAGGCTCTCTGGTCGCATTTTCAAAATCCTCCATAAAGAGATTTTTTTTTTTGCTGATGGAAATATTTGAGAGGCTAGTGTATTCAGCTGCAGCTCGGTTTCTTAAACAGCACCATATAACTCTGTTCAGACTAATGGTGCAGCCTTCACTCCTCAAACACCACCCAAAACCTTTCCGAAATGTGGTATTTTGGAGAAGAAATCCCTTTGTATCCCGCCTGATGGTATGCTGCGGGAGTTTTATTACCACCCCTCCAGAATACACATACATCTGAAGATGCTTCTCCTTCATTTACCCTGAGTGAATACACTGTAGCCTTGGCCAGGAGGAATCAATGTCATCAGGTGGCATCCACCGCTCACTGGCTTTTTCGACCCTGAACCACAACAGCCTCCCTGAGGTGGAGTGACTTGTGGCCAAGTCACTGCCCATCTCCTCCTCCTGGCTTCCAGTTAACCTCCTCCCTCCTACTCCATAACCAGCATGAGACTTTTTCCCTCCCAGTCCAATGGCTGTGAAAATTCTCCATACCAACTCTCGACAACCGACCTCGACTGGGAACAACCATGACTGCCATCCCTTCTCTCTGTTCTCATGCAGAAGGTCTTGATAATTTCCACTTTTCCTTTCAAAGGCCTGTTCATACCCATCTTCCCATGGGACAGTCAGTTCAATAAGGATGATCTTCTTCGCTTCTTCCGACCACAGTACCACATCTGGCCTCAGGGATGTCTGGACAAACTGTTGGAACTTCAACCTTCCCCCCAGGGCAACCTTCATTTCCCAGGATTGGGCCTTTTGTAGTAGACTGGGTTTTGCTGTAACTGCGGTTGGTGGCTTTCCCCCTTCCTTTAAAAACTGGATTGATGTTGCCTTTGGATGTTTTTGCCGTTTCTTCTTCCTCTCCTGCTCTAGGGTGATGGCAAGTGTCATGAGCACCTTGTAATGGCGCCACCTGTATCATCCCAGACAGGAAATGCGCCATGGTCCCTTTCTCCCCGCAGAGCTTGCACAGTGGGCTCTCAGATAGTCCCCACCTGTGCAAATTTGCTGGGGTCGGGAGTGTGTCATACACTGATCGCAGTAAGAAGGAAATATGAAACGACTCCAGCCTCCAAAGCTCTGCCCAAGTAATCTTATGCTTGGGGAGGTCCCACTTGGTCCAGGATCCTTGGGAAGATAGCGCCACAGCCTTTGACCTTCCCCCTTCCTTCTCCAGACTTCTAACCTCCTCCTGAATCATCGCTCTTGTGTCCCTGGTTCCTGCCTTGCTCCACTGTTGGAATTGGGATGTTCCAAGACCCTGTCTTCCTGTGCATGGTGCCCCAATGATGTCACGGATCTTCAGCATCCTTTCCGCCTGTGCGACCGTTGACTCAGCTCCCCACTTGCGGCCGGATCTCGTGACGATCCCTGCGTGTCTGACTTGGTCATCGTGGGAGTCTCTGTAGGTCATGACGACTCTGCCTTTGGCAATTTTAAACTCCTCCACCACGGATGTCAGAGGAAGTTGAAGTTGTCCTGATCTTATGTACAGGAATAAGGTTCGACCCTCCTCAGGTCTTGAGGTAACTCAGGTGCTAAGAGATCTCCAGTACTGTGGGGTTCGTCTGGCCTGAAATTCTCCTGCTTCTCACCAAGTGTTACCACTGTGCGCTGCACCTGTGCACCCCCTTTTCCACAGACGGTTCGGCTCTGATGGATCTTGAGCCCTCTTAACTTCTTGCAGATTTTTCCGCAATGACACTTAACTTCCAATGTCTTTCCAGTTAGCGTTTGGTGGCAAAAAGCCACCAAATCTTTTATGCTATCATAATTCACCCTCTCGCTACATTCACTCCACGCTACATCCAGCCGACATAATCCATTGTAGATTTTAGGCTTTAGGTAGTGCAAATGCAGAAAGAGGCTCTGAGATATAACAGGCAAGCAGGTACAAAGGGACAGGGGAGAGAGCAGAGAGAAACACGTCTGCACGAGCAGAGAGCCGGAAGATGAAGAAAGCTGGAAAAAGATTTCCGAAAGACTTTTGCTTTAGAATAGAAATTCCACAACCGTTTGGCGTTACGAACAGGATCCCACAACTGATTTCTCTGGACCGGAAACTTGCTGGGCTTTGGCCAGCCTGTTCGGATTGCGTCCAGCCTTAAATCTCCAAGGGCTTATGAAAGTGGACTGAGAGGTTGGGTTCTGGAGCACCAGCGCTGGGATCGAGTACGGTCGTGTGGAAGTGGTCTGAGGCGGTAAGAATGTATGTGCACAAAGGTTAAAATTGTTTTAGAATAAAATAAACTTTAAAATGGAATTAAACTGGTTCAAAATTTAATTGTTTGTAATATATCCGTGGCTCCCTTGGGAAGTTTCTGGAGACTGGGCGAGGCTGACATTAGTCTGCGGTAGACTAATATGAGCTAGAGCAGGTTCAGTACCATTAGCATATGGGTACAGGAAGAGGCATATGTACTTGAGGTAAGTACAGGTGTTACTTTTTAGAGAAAAGTATACAGGACATCAGCAGTGTTGCATTTGCAGTGTCAAAGTGAAATGACTCTGTCAGAGTTGTGACAGCAGCAGTTGGAGTAGGCACACGTCTACACAGAGGCTGTGTCGAATCAAACTCTTTGAGTCTTACTTGGGTGGGTGCTGCAAAATTCACTGTGATCAGCTCAGAAGCGCAGTGTACAGTACTTTTGGAAATTATTACGGGTACAAGTACTTAGTGCATGTGGGGTTTACTTTTGAGAAAAGAGTAATGACACTGATATCAGTGCAAAGCAGTACTATTGGGGTAACAGTACAGGTACAGCTATTTAGAGTACCAGAAGCACAGCACTCCACAGGAGGAGTGCAGTAGTACTTCAGAAAGTACTGAGAGTACCTCTTTGGAGACTTCTCTAGAGTGAGTAAGGAATATTCCACAAGCTGGTGAAGACGAGCAACGGCAAGTCTGATATCTGATGTCTGATATAGATAGATGGCTTGGCATGGATGTGAGTCATTTTTTGTCTGTGCAATCTTTATTTTTAAACACTCTCTGCACCGTCAGATATGCTGTCTTCTCTGAGGGTGATAGAAAAAAACCCTCTAGGCCATGACTGACTGACAAAAGGTTTAGATGGAGTGGGTGTTTTCCTGAGCCCTTGGTCTATGCTATACCTGAATAAAGATATGATGAAATGGATTTTTGTTTTAAAAAAGGTTTTATGTAACCAATTGATTTCAACAGAATAATTATATAATCCATCCCATGCCATCCGTTTTAAACAGATTTTAATACTTAATAATCTTAATGTATGCAATGTGATAATTGATCTTATGGCACAATTTTAAAAAGTAAAATCACAACAGTCCCTGTCAGTGTTATACTATTTTTAACATTTGTTAATATGACTACTGCATGTTGCTTTTTACATTCAAAATATTCAAAGTTTAGCTGTTTTAACTACTGTAATCATGATTTACTTTATTTGTTTTTTATTTTACCGAGCAACAGAAACTGAATATAGGTAAAAATGTAGCAACCTAAACAACATTCAGCAAGTAACTCTCTTTTTTTCTCTTTCATTTTCCATACATAATTGCTCTATATTTGTTTGTGGAACTTTTACCAAAGCATCTCTCTCCTTCATCATCACATATTACCCTACTCACACCTTAGATTCTGCTAACATTGACATGCACTACTGTGATATTGCTGCTGGTAGTTGTGCTTCTTCTGAACGTATCAGGATGTTTGTGGCATTAAAAGCGGCTTCACCCCTTTATATATTGCACTTTTTTCCCCTCACCTTCTCAGACACAACTTTTTCTTGTTTTGTTTTTTACTAGTGGCATCCATACAGGGATTGCACAATGAAACTGAAACACCTGGTTTTAGACCACAATCATTTATTAGTATGGTGTAGGGCCTCCTTTTGCTGCCAATACAGCGTCAATTCGTCTTGGGAATGACATATACAAGTCCTGCACAGTGGTCAGAAGGATTTTAAGCCATTCTTCTTGCAGCATGGTGGCCAGGTCTCGACGTGATGCTGGTCGAGGAAAATGTTTCCTGACTCGCTCCTCCAAAACACCCCAAAGTGGCTCAATATATTTAGATCTGGTGACTGTGCAGGCCATGGGAGATGTTCAACTTCACTTTCATGTTCATCAAACCAATCTTTCACCAGTCTTGCTGTGTGTATTGGTGCATTGTCATCTAATATCTCCTTCACAATGACTTATTTGAGAATTGGGATGTTTAGTGTTAACAAAGCCAGGGCAGGCAAAGTAAAGGGCACTGTTTTTTGACATAGTGCAGACAAAAAAAAACGTTGATGTATTGTTTTTACAAGAAATCCATTGAGATTAAAGCAATGACATAGACTGGAATAAATAGTGGGGAGCTCAAATGTTTTTAATACATCACAGCACAAAATGGAGGAGTGGGCTTTCTTTTCTCCAGAATATACACTCCGTCATTGCTGCTGACTAAGCATAAAGCTAAACGGAGACATTTTTTAATTCAAGTCCACTTTGAGCATCACACTAATGCAGAGTGGAAGAGATTTTTTAATAAGACCAACTATGGATTGAATTGCTGTGGCCCGAAGTTTTTTTTCATTCTTAGCTGTGGATTTTAACTCTACTAAAAATGTAGGTGACAGTAATCATGCAGAGCCTCATCCAGCCTCCCGACTCACTCTGAAGCAGCTGTTCTGCTCGTAGTATATGTGTGGGGAGGGAAGCACACAAACTAGAGACAGTACACATAGTCCCACTTGACATAGAGTAGGATTTCTTCAGGCAGACTAGATTATTTTTATTGTTTAAAACATTTAGTAACTTATCGTACTTCAGTTTTATGGAATCTTATTTAAAAGTATTTTACCCAAGAGCATATATAGCCATTTTAATTCAATGTTAACATTTGATAAAATAATAAAAAGAGGCTTTAAGTTATTGCTAGGTAAATCTGAGATAAAAAGTCATGTCAGCAGTATACTCTCAGTGTTACACAGCATGCCTGTTGATCTTTTGAAGTCTTGGACACTGAGGTAGTGGAACGGGAGACAGTTAACACTTTCACACACACAGGATGACAAGAGGGATTTAAGGCAGCTTTCCACACAATAAATTGCTGTGGCGGCATCAGATTTACAGCTGCTAACAGGAGATTTTTTTACCACCACTGAAAACTGTTGAAACTGCGGACAATGGTCTTCAACTTGAACAGTTTGTTGATGTTGCCCCAATGGGTCTTGGTAAGGCTTTTAAACTTAAAGGAAGTTGCTGTGAAGAATAAACATGCAAATCTAGTGGTCATCACTTTACCTAATTTTAACAGTGATTCGCAGTTGCAAGTTACTACAAAAGTTGTATATAATTTTAGATTTAAAAGAATAGATTAACAAACTTTGCGATAATATAAGTCTTGTTCCTTAAAAATATATCACTATACATTAAATATAATACAAACTAAGGCATGATAAAGGTTTAATGATATAGTTTATAATGGTTATCACTCAGTTGTATTGTATAAAACTACGTAAAATGAAGGGTCTCAACGTTCATTGGATATACTAGTTGGAAATATACCTTTGTATGTTTTTCTGTTTTTTATTCCTCGTTCCTGTAAGGCCGTGAGTCATCTGTGAACCCTTGATTTCGGTAAAACCACAAACATTGTTTTATTTGAAAATCATACACAATTTTCATTGTGATTCAGTTTTGCAAGAGGTCTGCTACTCAATCATCACCTCTGTGCAGTGATGCTAGCTCGACTTCTGTCAAACTAGCATCAACATTAGAAAAATATCCCATGTAAAGTTGTCATAAACATTCAGTGAATGTTTTGCAAACAATAATGACTTCTATTAATGACGTCAAAGACTACCATAGCTAAAGTAATTATAAAAGAATCACTTTAATTTGCTCTACATGCATGTACTGTACATGAGAAAAATTAGTGAAACTTTGATTAGAGAAATGTTGCAGGATGGATGTTGATGTGTCTGCATTTAGCACACACTACATCTTATTCAAAGTGACTTACCATGCAGGTAAAACATTACAGTTACCATCAACCTGACAATACGCTGCATAGAATAAAATCACGAGTCAGTCTCTGTTAGCGGAAGCAGTGGTGACAGTGTAGAGCAGGGCTGGCCAACCTGCATGTGGCTCTTTGCCCGGTTCCATGTGGCTGTTACATTCATGACGAAGTTTCGCTTTGCTTTGCTTTAGATTAATATGGTATTTCCGTTACTTTCCCAGTAAGATCAAAATCATTTGAGCAAACTTGTTGTCAAGTGGCCTCTCAAATGCACAGCAAAACGAAAACATGAAGATGAACACAGGAATTTTGGAATGCAGTGGGGAATTTTATATTATTCTGATTAATGTAATGACAAGCCATTCTGCCTTATAGACCATGCGTCATTAGTGCATTTCAAAGCTTAAAATCTTCAGGGCCACTTCAGCCAACTCTATGTTAACATCGACCAGGAATTTCAAAATAGGACTGAAATTTGCCTTCAAAATTTGGTTACTTTGAAAAGTGAGGCAGAAAAGCAGACAAAGTTTTTCCAAAAATGTATGAAGCACTCTGAGACTGTAACGCTTGCATCGTATCAACTGGCTTGGAAAATTGCATGTGCCAAAAAGCCATACAATGAAGGGAATTCATTAAAAAATGCTTCGGTGACAATGTTGAAATCTTGTCTCCTGATAATGACAAACTAAAACAAATGGTATGAGACGTCCAACTGTTCCACCACGCTATTGAACACAGAATATCGGACATTAACATTGCTATTCAATCACACTTGCGCTCTGATGTTCAAGCTTGTGAGTATTTAAGTGTTACATTGGATGAGAGTTTTGACATACATACAAGGCCTAATTGGCAAAAATTGGCCTCTCAGGTTTATTTTAAATCACTGCTCTGCCCAGATTTAGGGTATTCTACAAAAGCACCGGCACGGTAGTGTGGTGGTTAGCACCGCCGCCTCCCAGCAAGAAGGTTCTGGGTTTGAGTCCCAGGACATTTCCATGTGAGTTTGCATGTTCTCCCTGTGTCTGTGTGGGTTCTCTCCGGGTTCTCTGGCTTCCTCCCATAGTCCAAAAACCTGCATGTTACATTGATTGGACTTTCCAAATTGCCCTTAGGAGTGAGTGTGCGTGGCTGTTCGTCCTTGTATGTCCTGTGTGTTGGCCTGCGATGGACTGGCGGACTGTCCAGGGTGTACCCCGCCTCTCGCCCATTGATCACTGGGATAGAATCAAGTTCTTCTGCGACCCCATTAGGGAGCGGTAAAGATAATGGATGGATCTCAACATCTTGAGTTGTTAAGCTTTTACACAATTTTTGCTCTCGTTGAAAAGAATTGAAGCGCTTTTGGAGTTTTGGGTTTGTAATCAGCTTGGACAGCTTTCATATATATTAAACTAAGTTCAAATAAATTGAATAATATTCAAATACCGTCAACTAAATTAAACTACATTTAAATTCAATAAACTTAATTAAACTAAGTTCAAATAAATTGAAAAAGTTCAAATAAGTTAAACTATATGCAAATAAACTAAACTACATTCAACTCAGAGAAAGCAGATGCAGCTCATTATCTCATTAAAATGTTTGTCAGATTCACATCTTGTAATGCATTGCTGGGATCTTCTGGGCCACCACTTATCTCAGCCCAGGGAGTGCTGTCACCCACATGCGTGAGACTTTCCACTTAAGCTTGAAACAGCATGTTCTGGTGTTTTCAGTCAGCAGTTCAGCATTCTCCCAGCTTTTTTGTAGGATCAGCTTTTCATTGTTATATTTCATGTTCAATGTACAATGAGATGCCTTTGAAGTTGCTTATTTTCAGAAAAGCTGCAGATATATTCAACATATTCACTAATGTATGGTTATATCAGCAGTACAACTGACAGCACCATTATAAAATGGATAATAGATAGGGTATAGGGATATAGTCTTGCAGTGCAATTCGATATTAAAGATTGAAAAACAACTCATAAACTGGAAAAAAATTAAAAAGATTGAGACATTTAAACCCGAACACTTACTTGAAATAGCAACTTAAAATGATTTCATGAACAATGTCTGAAGACCCTTGGCAAGAGAAAAATAATATGATTTTTTTTTCTTTCACAGATGGCCAATTTCTGGCCATCTAATCTCACCTGAAAGTATGGCCTCTACAAGGTCTCCATCCTGGATCTGAGAGGCAGAATGCAGCAGCTGTAGGTTGTCTGATGTTTGGTCATGACGAAACAGCAGGATCTTATCATACATTCCATAGAAGCCACACTCGGGCAACTGATAGAGACAGGAAGACAAACTATCAGTCAAATGTGAGTGGATATTTGTACATATACAGAGAAAGCTTTTCACTACAAAAGAAGATCAATTTAATAGAGTGATGACATAATCAATGCAAATCTTCATGAAAAAAAAAAACAGCAGAAAAACACAGTATGTTCCTGTCAACATCTGACTCATTCGCTTGGGTCCAGATTTTGTTCGAATGCCAAATGTTGTGACAAAAACTCCAAATCTAAGATTGCTTTTGATCTTAGTCGTCTTCAATCCCTTAGAGTTATGATACTTGCATGAAATGTAGTCTTCAGAAAGGAAAACAGGGATTGTTCTATTTCTGAACCACAACTAACGTTTTTCGCCCAATATTGAAGTGTTTTTTCTCATGATTCTAAACTGTAATCTATTATTTTTGTTCAAGATTAGAATATGTTTTTACACTTTGCCACAAAGGGTAAAAGGACGTAAAAAAAACTGCGGAGTAAGATTATTTCTGTACATGACTGGACTCTGAGTTGTAGTTGAAGACTGAGTGTAAAATAATAACAAAGTTCCCTGTGGTGCTCCACTGATGCAAAAAAAAAAAGACCAATTTTAGTTTTCCGAAGTATGTTTACATCTCTTTTAAACATACTTCCAAATTCCATATTTTACCTATTCGTGCTCCCTTTTCATCAACATGAATAGTTTTCGCTCTCCCTTCGAACAAATGTATCATCATTGTACATCATACTCCTTTATGTCAGCTAGTGTAGCTGCTGGTCATTTTCTAACATGTAATGTCAAAGATGTCCTGATTTAACTATTCTAAATGCACAAGGGCTGTGGCATATCTCAGTCTGTGTTTGACCACCTCTTGGCTTTAATACCCATGTACAAACTTTTTTACTCTCAAAATCAATTATCTGAATAACCTATATTTTTTTAAAATAAGTTGCATTTCAAGCTGGGGGACAATATGTGGGAGATTTTTCTTTCAGACATTTCCTCCAGGGGCCATGGGATGGTGTGGTGGTTAGCACTGTCACTTAACAGCTAGGGGGTTCAACTTCAAACCCATTCTGGTTCCTTTCTGAATGGAGTTTGAATGTTCTCTTTGTAAGTGTGTGACTACTCCAGCTTCCCCCCACCACCATAACAACTAATGCTCTGCCTTATGACAAATTCAGTTTTATTAAACACATACTGGTAATACGTATTGTACATGCACATCCCAGAACAAAACCTGTAACACAGCACTTTTTTTTTTTTTATAAAGTAGTCTATCATAAAAACTCATTAATCGTGTTCATCTTCCTCCTGCGCCCTAAAACAATGAAGAGGTTGTCTTCTTCAGTTTCCAAATTTAACCTCAGAATAACTTTGTCTCTTGAAATTTGCATGCTTGTTAAAAGACATAATTTGTAGAATAATAATTGAAAAATGACTGGCCAACATCCTGACATGAAAAGTGTCTTTCATCGTCTACCTCGGACATCAGTCGAATTCAACACTCTATTCGCCCTGTTAAACTCAAAGTATTGAGCGGCCAAACACACCCCTTGTGTTAACTTGTTCCCCCCTTTCTCTACAATCACAGATGACATGAACAAATGTTCTTTCTCTGCTTTAAAAAAAAAATCTGTTTCCCCGTTTTTCCTTTGTTAATTCAAAAACTGCCCTCTTTGCTAAGTTCTGTTCTGTAAGTCAACTAAAGTTAGCGCAGGTCTGACAGATGTTTCAGTGGGTGGGACTTTCTAGGAGTCTGGGAGTCTAATTTCTCATGAAGTTTATAATTTTATTCGGTTCTTGCCACTTCAAGAACAACAAATTTCTTGGTTCTCGCAGAGTATGTAACACTCTTAAATGTTTTAGCAACAAATAGCTCATTAAAAAATGCAATACATACTGTATATTCACTGCATCGTAGCATCAGTCGCAGTATTCAAAGCATGAAAAAAGTCACAGCTTATAGTCCACTATTTACTGAAACCCTTTTTTTAATGTTTCAATTTCCTTTTCATTTAGGTCTCAATAGTGATGGAATTTGGCAGCTTATTTCATAAAATTACCAATTATTTGAACTTTTTTCCCCTTAAGACTTAATGGAAAGACTTCAGATGATGGTTGGTCTGTAAACATAAAAGGTAAAGAACTTAACACGTTGATGGAGTTATTACTTTTTTCTTTCATTAAAATCTTTCTTTCGAGGAGAAATTAAAAAGCATCTTTGCTGTGAATATTACATTTCAGTTGGACATTATGAATGTTAGCAACTAAGAAGTTCGAAAACAAGAGGCTTTAATACTATCTTAATTCATTAAATAATTTTACTCCCCTCTACAGAAGCTTTAGTCTTTTAATTCCCTGCCAGATGCTTACCGTATGTTACTGCCTCTGACTTAGGTTGCTTTATTATCTTTGATATTTCTAGGGTTTTAGCTTTCTCCAAGTCTTAATGCCCAGTTTTTTTATCGGCTCTGAAACCCTATGTGTCATTCTTTATAATAAACCTTTGATTTTGTGAGTTCCTAAGTTCCCTTATGCATTCCTTCCCTGTCTCTGCTTGTGGATTCATCCCCTCACCACCAGCAACAGAACAGAAGGATCTGCACAAGAGGGAATTGAAGGAAGGAAAGTTGGTAGCGATGCAGGAAGTGAAGAATAGCACCATAATAAAACACAGGAAACTAATGCACAGGGAAATGGACCAAGGAAGTGAAAAAGCCAAGAAGAAAACTGATGGAAAATTATTCAAAATGAAATTAGAACAAAGGAGACAAATGCACAAATCTTATCAAAAACCATAAATAAAAACAAAATGCACAACTCATGACAGTAGTACACAATGTATGCTGAATTTGTCATTGTATTTTAGTCTATAGTTAACACTTGTCAGAAATATTTGGATTATCTAAAATAGAATAAATCTTTATTTTTATTTCAAACGTTTTAAAGGGAAATATACAGAAATCGGACAAAAGATCAACAACAAATATTTATGTACAGATCAGGATTTATCCTTGGCGTTCAATTTCATTCTTTCATTTGATTCAGAGCCCTTTTCATTATGTTTTTACTACTGAACCAATTTTTATCTTTCACTGAAACCGTGAATTAAATTCTTATTTCTAGATTTGAAACTAAATTATAATCTGTTATCACAATGCTTGAAGACAATAGAACTGATGGATGGATACAAAATATGTCAAAAAGAAGCAAACATTGTGAGAAGAGCGTACATCAAATTGAAAAAAACATATTCAGTATTTAATCCCTCACCTTCATCACAATTCACCCTTTCAAGTATATACTTCATAGATACATATTCAATTTTGCTGTCACCACAGCAATGGTGCTGCTCTTGTTGTCATGGAGACAAAAATCCAAGGCTGACTCCTTTTCATCTTTCCCGTCTCTTTTCTATATTCAGCTTCAATATATTCTGTGCTGGACTTACTGTACTGCATTTTGAACTGTACATTGCCCTGAAAAGCTTTCTGAGTGGTCGTAACTGCAGTTCGTTAAATCTGAACACATTTACCAGGTATAATTAATTTATATCCTAAATTCTGATGCCACTAACCAACCCATCTCTTCCACTAGCATTTAAAGTTGATATTCAACGTGGATTTAAAAAAAAAAAATCGAGAAAATAGTATCTCCATTTATCTCATCAGGTCACCCGTTTGCCTAAATAGCTTTTATATAAACTTTTCCCCAGAAAATATTAGATTTCTGTCCAGGTACGACTTTTTCTTTTCACGATAGAACTACCACTTACTATTTATTCTACAACTATTATTCATTTGTGGAGGGCACGGTGAACTGCAACCGGGAGTTACACCAGCTATTGATCAAAAGATATGTCTGATAAGACTATCAATTCAGAAATACAAATAGGCCTTCCATCTGAAAAGATAACAAAAAAGCGTAAGACTCACTGGCACACAGATGGACTCTGGGATGTTTGGAACTGTACAACTTCAGCAAGACTAAATATGCTTAAACAACAAGATATTCCTGTGGACTTGGTTTGATAGGAATGATTAAGGTTTTCAGACCCTTTGATGTGTTTGATGTTTCTTTTCACATTGTACTTTAAAAGAGACAAAACTGCTTGTATATACAGTTATTACAGCCTTTTACAGCTACAGGAGCTATTGCCCAAAGCAAGCACCGACTAGGAAAGAGAGATGCAAGAAGATAATGAGGTTCACTGATTGGCCAGGATCTAAAATGGAAATACATCCACTTCAGCCAGTCTGCTTGGACAAAAACAAACAGTGGAGCAAAACCATATTTTGCCATTCTGGGCGTTTCTGCTTTTACTTTATTGTTTAAACCTAACTGCTTTTTCAATAGCAGCCACCCATTTTGAGCAGATGCAGAGGATTTATCCAGGATATTGCTCCAGACAAATGTCGCAGTACCAAAACACACTGTAAAGCGTTTCTAAAAAACAAATTAAAATCATCAAGAGAGGTATGGCAGAATTGAGCCATCATTAATAATGTGCTCTATACGGACAGCAACATGCTGTATGCCAGGACTAAGTAAGACATCGACTCACTTATAAAAACCACCAGGATATACAGCAAGAAATTCAGGATATCATTTGGACTCGATCAATGTGGCCATATGAGACCAAGGAAAGGGATAATAATCATGATTTCATGTACTGTTCTACCAGGGTGCACCATAGCAGATGGTTAGGAGAGCTAAAAACTTATAAAAGCTACATTAGTCTTCCACTCCCAAATTGCAACCATACATTAAAGTCAACTACAACCAAGTCTATGCCATCAACACATACACCTTGGCAGTCATGAGTTACCGTGCATGCATAATAACCTGACCAAAGGAAGGAATGAGGCCAAGGGGCCAGTGACCACCACAGTCACAATCCAGGATATATATAATACACCCTTCTTTCTTATTCGATATCTAAATATAAAGTTCACACATGGAAGGGGTATTCCATGGACAAAACAATATTTTACAAGCTGAGGTAATCTTAC